AAAAAATAAATGTACACTCACGGGCCTATACTGCTGGATGGATAGTACGAAAGGTATTGCAAAATTTAAAAAGTGGTTGCACAACATGCAAAAATTCCCTCACCACCAGGGACATAACTAATATACATGTTTGGATAAGTCACAGAGAATATACAAAAGCTAAAAACCGGTTGCACTACCCATCAGAAGGTGCAGTAAGGTGCTTTGTTACAATAATTAACGAATCAAATGAATACTTAGAAATAAAAGGACATGAAACAAATATAGCCAAGAATATAAAAGAAGTAGTTATTTTTAAGTATTAATTTGATTTTATTGTATGTACCGAGCACAAGTTATTGGTAATAGATAATTTTGTAAATTTAGTTATTAAATTTGCCATAATCAATTGGTGCAGAACAATAAACAAAATACTAAAGGGCACTGACATTTTCCGATTAAGTAATTGTTCTTTGCCTATGACGCAAAAAATGGCGTTGGAAAAATATAATAAAAAATTAAAAAATAAATCTTTTAATAAATAATTCATGTGTTTTATTGAAGTTCCTTTAATTATGAATAAAAATTCCGATTAAGTGGGATACCTAGGTACCTAAAATTTTATGGATGAATAAAGTTGAGCCTTAGCCACCCTTTGACAAAATTTTAAAAAGTAAGTAAATGTCATACAAGACTAGAAGTACTTGTGTAGACGCTAACTTTTTTTTGTACTAGAGTCGGTCGTCTGATACGTAGTATCTCTAACTAGTCTGTGTTTTCTCTCTCTACAGACGGCTGAGGCGAAAATGGCGAATCAGTAACAAACAGCTAACATTTATGGCAAACCGTGATTTTTGAGACAAAAATGTTTTATTAGTGGCATTTGTTATTTGATCTTGAACTATTTTAGTTCTATAAAAAAGCATCGATTGTTTTATCTTCATAACACAGAATATACGCAATATTGTTATATTGAGGGCAAATGCATCGTGTTTGGATGTCCAATTGTGACTAAAGCGAATTACAGTCATGCTCATGCATCACAATTTAAGCGGATCACTTTTGAGCTGCGAGTGCCGTATCTTCCTTCCCTTTTGGTTTTATGTCCCTTACATTAAACCAAAAGGAAAGATACGGCACAAGTGGCTAGTTCGCCCCATCCTATACCATCCATGGGCGTATTTTGAAATCTGGCGCCTCCAGGCCATGTCCCCCGAATCTAGGGTTGCCAACCCTACTATATTGACTGGCATTAAGAACGCTTTTACTGGCAAAAATCTGCTTTAAGCAAAATATAGTAGTTTCGCCTAATACATAGTCAGGTCATAAGTATTGTCACACAGTAAAAACTTTTCTTTTAGAATGCTGGCCACAAAAAAGTTTATTGTATTCGAATTTCGAATTGTTCATGAAAATAAAAATGTTTACTTTTTAGAATTTTACTCAATTTTAAATATTGAGTGGATGCTTAAAGAAGACCGTGTTGCAGTTATTGCGTTGCATCGTTGCGGTTACGCGTCAATTCAAATTTTTGACATTCTGAAAAATTTGAATGTAACCAAAAGATTCGTTATCGTACCATCAAACGATAAATGAAGACTAGTGTAGATGACAGGTCAAGAAGTGGTCGCCCTCGGTCTGTTAGGACTCCAGCAGTGATAAAAGCTGTGAAGGCGCGAATTCAAAGAAATCCCAAACGTAAGCAGAAACTGTTGACCCTTCAGATGGGGTTAAGCAGAACCACGATGAAAAGGGTGTTAAATGAAGACTTAGGGCTTCGGGAATATCGAAGAAAAACAGGACATCGTTTGAATGCTCGTCTAATGTACCTGAGACTGAAGAGATGCAGCGCTTTGTTGAAGCGGTACGCGGGATAAAAATATCGGGAAATTCTTTTTTCGGATGAAAAAAATTTTACCGTAGAAGAGAGCTACAACAAACAAAATGATAAGGTGTAGGCACACAGTAGTGAAGAAGCGAGCAACCGTATTCCGCGTGTCCAACGAGGTCATTTTCCGTCCTCGCTCGTGGTATGGTTGGGAGTTTCTTATTGGGGCTTAACAGAGGTAAATTTTTGTGAGAAAGGTGTGAAAACGAATGCAGTTGTGTATCAAAATACAGTCCTGACTTACCTTGTGGAACCTGTTTCTCATACCATTTTCAATAACAGGCACTGGGTATTCCAACAAGATTCGGCGCCAGCTCATAGAGCGAAGAGCACACAAGACCGGCTTTCGGCGCGTGAAATCGACTTCATCCAACACGAAGACTGGCCTTCCTCCAGTCCAGATTTGAGTCTGTTAGATTACAAGATATGGCAACACTTGGAGGAAAAGGCGTGCTCAAAGCCTCATCCCAATTTGGAGTCACTCAAGACATCCTTGATTAAGGCAGCCGCCGATATTGACATGGACCTCGTTCGTGCTGCGATGGACGACTGGCCGCGCAGATTGAAGGCCTGTATTCAAAATCACGGAGGTCATTTTGAATAAACTTTATTGTCATAAGAATCTATGCTTTGTTAAGTTCATTTTGGTATATAAATGGTTACATCATCAATAAACTTGTTTCAATTATTTTATATTAAACATGTGACAGAATTTATGACCTGACTAGGTATATATTTCTTTTTGAAATATAGTATTTGACACACATAAAAAAAAGTTTGCGATCACTTTGAAATATAGATTGTTTTTTGTGTTACAGAAGACTTTTTTGTAATTTATTTTTCTGATAAGATTCTAAATTTTAAAATTAGAATTAGAACGTAAAACAATAAAATAATTCAATTGTTTTTCCATATTTAAAGATATGCAATCCAAGCTGACCCCTCATTCAGAAATCTGACTTAGTCAATATTATCTTATTTAAAATATTTTTTCACGGAAAGTTGTGCCACGAAACACAAAATTTAAAAAATGCCACGAGGATTATCAGATGTTTTACGAGCCAGAATTGTAACTTTGAGGGAAGAAGGCTATATCCCAATCCTGTGTAGTAACCACGTTGCAGAGGTGCCACGGCATGGGCATGGGCAGCTGATCGACCCCGCAGCGGTCGCCCAACTGTTTTGACAGCTGCCATGAACCGCTACATCAGGTTGCTGGTAACCCGCGACCCAACAATAAACGCCAGTAAATAAAAAGCAGAAATACGGGCCGCCTCCGGGCTTGAAGTTAGCTTTCAGAAAAGCGCTCAGACCATTCGGAATTGCTTACACAAGGCTGGATTACGAGTACGGAGGTCTTGGCAAGCACCTTTAAATTCACGGGAACGTCAGCGAGGGAGATTCCCGTGGGCTAGGCTCCGGCAAAACGAAGAAGACGAAGAGGAAAACATTTGGCAAAACTGTCTCTTCGTTGACGAATCGCGAATCAGTACTCATCCAGATAACCGACGTGTCCGTGTTTGGAGAGGACCTGGAGACTCTGAAAGGCAAAGAATAGCCACTGGAACAGTTCACCAAGGCGGGAAATCAGTGTCCTTTTGGGGTGGTATTATGATTGAGGCTAGAAAGCCTTTAATCCCTTATCAAGGCTTCATAACGGCGGACAGATACAAAACAGTCGCAATTGATGGAATCGTCAGACCTTTCCGAGTAAACCTGCGCCCGCACATCGAGCTCAACGAGTCAATGTTTTATTTTATAATTTCTTAAAGTGTATTTTTAAATAAATAAAGATATAACATTTTCTCTTGATTAAGTTAAATTTTGAAAATAGGTATATCCACTTTTAAGCAAGTGATCTTGAACTTTTTTTGATGTTTGTATATTTTAGAGTAGGGTTGGCAACCCTAGTCATGGCCCAATCTCCCTATTTCATCCACAGGGGAGTCCTATGGCTCAGCAGTGGGGACATTACTAGGCTGATGATGATGATGTTAACAGTTAATGATCGCTCTTAATTCAGCCAGAGTGAAAGCGATGTAGTATGAACATAGTTGTTTTAAACCATAGATATAGGAATGGCAGAATATTGAATATCTATAATAGTACCTAAGCTTGGGGACCGGGAGAAAGTAGTTTTGTAAACATAGTGAAGGGTGATTGCTTACGTGTAGTGTTTAGGCCTGTTATATAGTAACTAAACAATGTTTACAGTCGTACCTACATACAATGGCCGCCCTGACATTGCCGTGTTGTTCTTTGGCAAAAGTTTACAAAGGAGGTGACAGCATGATCTTCAATGAAACCTTTTTATTTGATTTGTGAAAAGCCGTGCACTATATCTTTGTTTTATAAGGGGGGTTTTGAAAAATAAAAACACAGGTAGCATTTTTATTTTATACAGCGTAGGTGTGCAAAATTTTAATAAATCCTATGCACTTTTGGATAATCTCCCTTACAAAATTTGACACGAAATTTTGTAATTTTTTGAAGGTGGTTGTAAAACTTTTATGTAATAGGCTTAGTGTACCTCTATTAAATAATGTTTATGCAAAATTTACAGTCAATAGGTCCAAGGGTTAAGATTTTACGGACAAACGTTATTTGCAAATTTTACGCATAAAAGGCTGAATTAAAAAAAACCCCACCTTATTATTTGTCTAGGCAGTAATAGGAACCTAACCTACTGTCCAAATTTCATCATTCTAGGTCCAGCCGTTTCTCCGGCTGTGCGTTAATTAGTCAGTATGTTAGTGTATCCTTTTCTCTCGTTGTATAATAGTTCAGGTATGTATCTGGTGAAATTGTCCCAGGAGCAAGGGGTATTCAAACATTGCTCCAGGATTTTCAGTCATAGTAGGTAGGTATGGTTTCAACTAGCTCGAAAACACGGATGACGAAATTACTTTATAATTGGATTAAAAAACTTGTTTAATTAATCAACTTGTATATTAATATAGCCCGTATCCTTAATGATAAAAGTGCCTTCCTTTAAAAAATGTGTATTTTATAGAAACCAATTCAATGGTAACCTACCCACAATAAAAAGCAGTTGATTCGGCCTCTAAACAGTAGCGATTTGTATTCTTAATTGCAATCGCAATTATAATAGCATTGTATGTTCATTTTGTACATAATCGCGGTGCAGTACGCATAACCGGCCACGGCGAGCGGTGGATAGCGTTCATTTTAATATCTAGCTGTTTGTACTGACAGTATTAGAAGGCCGCTCCCAACGGAAGGCGGTCTATAAAGCAAAACACTTACACTAACACCCAATTTTATTAGTACAGTTCCTGATATCCAAACGCACATTGACCAATGTGAAAAACTAAACGCAAATTTTTACTTTTTTCGGCGGCAATAAAACTTTTTTTGGACGAAACTTTTGTATTAGCCGGCCGAGTTGATATGTCGTTTCGTGTGATACTCTCGCCATATTATGAAGTTTAGTTATAAATTAGCCGTGTTAAATATTTTTTGACATTCGAGAGAATGAAAATAATTACATGACGTGATGTTAAAAAAACTTTATTTACTACGAAATGTTACGGTAATTTGTATTTAAACTAAGGTAAAATCTACTTCTGATCTTAATCCAAGTGTAGTGCCCTCGAAACTCTCATTAAATTAAGGAAAAATGAGGTAAGTGTCCATTTCAAAGTCGTGCCAAACTGAGTTAATTTCCTCTTTTCATTAATTTGTGTTGTGGTCGTATTTACGGTTGAATTATCAATCGTGATTTTGTTTTGCAACAACGCTGTAACTTTGTATACTCATACCAAGTAATTAGTGGCTACGAACTCTCAAACAAAATTACTGTCAAAGATTACTGTATTTCCTACTGAATATGTGCCTAACTACTCATTTAATTAAACTACAATTTTTAGACACTCCATTGCTTATTTAGATATTTTCGAATATAATATTAACATAAACATCTAAAGAAAAGTTTACTAGAAAAAATGTAAATATACAAAACATTGTTTCTATTTATTGTTTGTAAACATGAACAGTGTAAGTTTAAGTCCACAAAAATATTAAATTTTGGTACTCATTTATTCCATAAACTTCAGTGATTATAATATGATGACTTGCAAGTTACCCTAAAAGTCAATAATAATGATTTACCTATGCATTTATTAATGCATTGTTTTGATGAAGATAAAGTATGTAGGTTTATGTATGTATACCACTTAAAAATGCTGTCAGACTTGCACTCTTTTAGAATGTTACACAAAATAAATGCAAGAATATATCGTTTAAACTGTACTTGCTGGGCCAGGTAGTTGACACGTCATAATTTATTGTTGTAAAGGACTCTGCTTACAAAGTACATATCAACAGTGGAAAAGCAAATTTGCTTATACACCACTTTGATGCTGCTTAAAAAATAATATATAAATAAAAACTTAAATTAATTGAATTTTTAAGCAACACACTGTTGATATTTTGTGGCGCTTTGTTGGCCACTGCTCGGCATGCTAGTTCTTCTCATTCAGCTTTGGTTATGGTCACAACTCTTAATTTAACCTAGTGTAAACTTCCAGGCCCAAAAAGTACAGTTTGGCCCATATTTCATAAAAACTTGACAAGTAACATCCTTAAATAAAAACAAGCTCAAATGGGTTAGTTTATTTGTTCTTTCATGTTTCCTATCGTTTTCAGGTTCGTTTTGAAAGTATGGATAACTTCAAAAGACAAATAAATTAACGCATTTTACCCGTTGGAGCTTGTTTTATTTAATGAGTGCTGTGCATGAAAACTTCAAAAAAAAAAAAATAAAAAAAAAACATTACAGACTTTTATGTTGCATTCCTATGAATTTGACGACCTCTATGGCCACTCAAATGGGTTTCATTGTGTTACCGACTCGAGAGGTCCGGTTCGATTCCCGGTGGGGGCTGATGTTTGTGATGAATATGAGCATTTGTACTCCAGTCATGAATGTTTAATATGTATTTTTATATAAATATATTTATATAATGTACAGTATATATATTCTATCTGTTACCCTATTATCCCATAACACAAGCTTTATAGTGCTTACTTTGTGGCTAGGCTAAATGGTGTAAGTGTTGGAAATATTTATTTATTATTATAATGAATTTCTACAGAACCCTCAGTGGGCGAATCAAACTCATACTTGTCCGAAATTTTCAGATGTTGTTGATGTAGTTTCTAATATTCTTTTCCAAATTTTCAGTATCAATAGCATAATTTACCTTTTTTACCTTTAGTATTAAAAAAGTAAATGAAATATTAAACATTAATTTATTTTGTTTCAGATATACAAACAGGAAGACAAAATATTTAGTAATTCAAAATTAAATAAATAATAATAATGCAACTTTCTAAAATGTAAAACTTTAATTTTTTTTATGGAAAGGCCAGTGATATATTTAATTTTTTTTTTTAAAATCTACTATGTAACTAAGATTTTGCGAATGTAATTTAGGGCCAGTATTAGTTTTAATTCGTACAAGTGTTTTTTTTTACAATGTGTTTTTTGTTTGGATGGCGACCATCAGGACATACTTATTGTGAGTATTTCTAATAATATTGTATTTACTGACATATTAATTAGGTCTACCTGCGCGATGGCGCAAGTGTTTAACGCGTTCGGCTGCGATTGTTCAAGTTAAGCAACTTTCGCAGTGGTCAGTAATTGGATGGGTGACCAAAAATTACTATCTCGAGCTCCTTTGTGCTTTGGAAGGCACGTTAAGCCGTTGGACCCGGCTGCATATGCAGTCGTTGGGACCCATCAATCCGCACTGAGCCTGCGTGGTGAGTGTCATGGCTCAATCTCACTATTCTATCCATAAAGAAGGCTTGTGTCCCAGCAGTGGGGATATTAATAGGCTGATGATTATGACTTAGGTCCACTTGCAGCAATTTTGCTTAATCTCATTTTAACTATAACAGACCTCCACGCCTCATAGTGTTGGAATTTCATAATCACCGCGCATGTGTTCCCTCCTTCCTATAATCTGGGGTCCTTTAAGAGAGGCGTGAAGAAGCATTTTTGCGGGCCGGCAAGGTGAGGATGGTTGGTGTAGCAGTTTATAACTGCTGTACCAGCTATCTTCGCGTTTGGACTTTATCACTACTTATCATCAGGTGGGGTAGAGTCATTTGCCTACCTAGTTATTTAAAAAAAAAAACTAGGGGGATTTAAATCAAAATATTTTTTTGCAATAATTGATGATATAGTATAACTTATTTAAACCCTCAGACCAAATAAATAGTAAAGACGGAGTCTGCCGAACCAAAAAGTGAAGCCGGTTTTTTATGTATGTAGTGCATTAGCCAGTGTTACCATAGTCATATAAAACACCCCAATATTTTTTAATAACGTTATAAAATATTAGAAAAAAATATCGTAAGCTTATTCTCTAAACCTCTCGTTAGCCAAAGGTCATGCGCCGTTCTCACCTACAAGTGCCGGACTTCTTTATGGACCGCCCGCCCGCTGGGTGGGAACGATTGCATTTTTCTGCCGATTTCTCTGTTATTTTGTAAAAATACCCTTCACAAACGTATATTTGGATTCTCCATAAAATTGGCAATAAAACAGTGTGTACACGATGCGTCATGTCTATAATTTATTTTAATTACATTATGGTAAACTCAGGAAAGATAAAAAAAGTCGTTTAAATAGGTAAAATGAGGTGTATTTTCAAAATTTGTAAATTTATAATCCAGGTTTTTGTACATATAGAATTTTTCATTCATATATAGTACATATATGAATGAATGTATATAATAACTTACCAAATACAATTATAAAATATAACACTCAACAGAAAAAAAAGGGTCGTGTTGCAAGTGTTGATAAAAACAAATGCGAGATCCAAGTGCCTTGATTTATGTGTTGACGTTTAATTATGTTGGATTGATTATTTTACTTTAGTTACAAGTCTCGGATGGAATAGGTTTGTTCATTTTATAGTTTCAAGCACTTGCAACAAGGCACTTGAAATCGCTTACAAATCAGTCATCTCAACTTTATGTCGATAAAACGAAAAGCATATACAAATGTTGATAAACAGTTTCTTTTATTAAAATGTACATGAAATTTTCTATAGAATACACAAAATATAATCACTAGTTCCTATACAAGAACATAATAAAATAAATCCACAAACATCGCGAATTTTGGGTCAAAAAGGCCATTAAAAAGTACAATACAAATAAAATTACAAATATATTATTATTTTACATATCGTCGCTCTGAAAATGAGTCGAACAAACCACGCTGCGGGAAGCTGGTTGCCACAATGGTGCATTTCTACTCTTACGAATGACTGCAATCCACTTCTCTTTTAGATCTTGATCTCGATTAGGAAATCTTAAAAAGAACGCATATTAAATAATGTGTATTACATCCCAAAAAATTTATACGAATACATAAAGAAAAAAGATGTTTCGTGTAATTGTTTATCCATGCATTACAATATTCGAATAATATAAAAGTATGCCACACAATGTATATAATAAAATAACGTTACGTTATATTTCACGCTACCCAACAAAGGGGTAAAACTGTAACGAATAATCATGGCAACATTTCGTTCAGGTTTTGTTTACAAAGCGACAACCTCAAATTTTATTTTGATTAATTGAAAATAGCAGTTTATAACTTTACTTACGTATGAAACGTGATTCCATCCTGTTTTTTATTCTTGGAAGATTGGTTTTTACACGTTTTCACTACACAATTCGGCATTTTCTCTAATAAATATTGTTATTTATTATTACGTCACACTCCGCGCGTCGGGATAGCTCGACTGAGAAGCCAAGGCGTAGTTTCGTTGCATGTGTGTGCGTGTAACTGTGTATGTACACGGCGAGGCGTAGTTTTATCGGCTTCACTTTTTGGTTCGGCAGACTCCGTCTATACTTTTTATTTGGTCTGAGTTTAAACCTTAGACCCAATTTGATACAACGACATATTAGGAATTCTTGTAGTTAAATAAAAGACAAATAAATTAACACATTTAACACGTTGGAGCTTGTTTAATTTAATGACTGTTGTGCTTGAAAACCTAAGTGAAAAAATCAATACAGACGTTTATGTTGCATTCCTATGAATTTGACGACTACCGTAGCCGAGTGGTTTGAACGCCGGGTTTCCGGGGGCGTTTATATGACACAGAATGTCACAGCGTGCGCACCGCACGGTGACAGTACTACGCGGTCACTGTGCTGTGGACGCGTAATTACTGTTCAGTCATTACATAGCAGATTTATGTTTTATTAACTAGGACTTAACGTTGAAATTCCGACCGCCGTGTGGTCGAGGAGTGGACGCCGCGCGATCGCAGCGCAGTTGCAAAGAATTTCAACGTTAAGTCCTAATTAATAAAATATAAATCTGCTATGACTGAACAGTTTTTACTCATGGTGTCGCTGACTCGTGAGGCGCTGGGTTCTAATCCCGGTGGGGGCAGGTGTTTGTGTGATGAATACGGGTATTTGTACTCCAGCCATGGATGTTTAATATTTATTTCTATATAAATATACTTATATATGTACAGTTTAAGTATTCTATCCTTGCAGCAATTTTGCTAAATCTCATTTTAACTATAACAGACCCCCACGCCCCGTGGCATCAACGTTAAGCCTCCAGCAAAAGATTTTTGAAAACATTCAACAAAAAAAAACACAAAACTTTGTTTCTGAATTTCTGAAACATATTTCTCTACACACACCGTGTACTGCTCACGTGGATGTCGTAAACAAAATACACAGGCTGCGTTCAAAAACTACGACCCCGGTGCAAGAAAGGTCTTTGTCAAAAATTTTGTACATTTTAAGCCAAATTAAAACGTCTCAGATTGAAAAGTTGCACTCGGAGACAAGATTTGGAACTCAACCCCAGCTAGCGAGTTGTCAAAATAATGGCCGATGAAACTTTGAGTTCTGAAACTTAAGTTCCTTGACTGAAACCTATGGAGATGTCATACCTATGAAAAAAAGTGTATACCTAAAGTTACTGGAAAACGAAAATGGCGTCTTTACATAGTGCTGCCCCATTGTATATCGATATCTTTAGAATCAAAAGTACTTTGTGACGATATTTCGATATTCTATAAAAGTACTTTTTGACATTGAGATTTTGCTAATATTGATGGTTATAATATTATATATAAATAATCATATTATTTTGAATAGGACGGAATATTAGCATATTTTTGAAATACAATTGGGGTACTTTTAAGGATCTTCTCATTACAAAATTTCGCCCCGACGGCATTAGAAAATATACTGTTACTCGAAAAAGGGTAGTTATTTTTGGTTTTTAGTTCCATTTTTTAAACGGCAGTCGTGTTATTTTTTTAACAAACATTTTTTTTAACAAATTTTACATAGAAAAAAGACAACGATATTTTCTGTCACGTTTGTTTAGATTTATTTCTATTAGGCAATAAATAAATAAATAATAGTGTATCTCTTAAATTAAAGATTGATCACTTTTTATTACAGCGTGAATTTAAAGTATGTTCCTTGAAAGGTCACGTGCAGCTATTATACATTTTTAAAGGAAATAATAGATTTGTCACCAAATGAATGGATCAGTTCCTTAAATTAACGAAAAATGCCTATTGTCAAATTAAATTCGCTATAGTATGACATAATGTAATGGTACTCCTTCAGAAACCAGTAACTTATGTATTCAATTCCAGATTAGCAGTTTTTTTAATAATAATTACAGACGATACGTCGGAATACTTCAACGGCCATGACCACAATGCTTCATGATTCTGTCGGCCATAGTTGATTCGCGCCATCTAACACTTCCGGTTTTAATTAATTTTAATACCGTGATCGATATACTACTTTTAAATTTATAAAAAAAATAATTTGATTAATAATTTGGACAAATTAAAATTGAACCTAATACATAGTAACTATTCATAATAAATAAAACAAATAAAACAGTTGTAACTGATATTTATTCACAACACGTTTTCAAAGTGCTTCCTTCCGCTTACACAATCTACAACGTCTTAAAAAAATATGTTTCAGTCTTCCAAAATTACTAGTATTTTGTGTAGTTTTTGTTTCGGCCTGCCTTAATTTTTTACGCAGCTCTGCTTCCGTGTTTGTTTCGCGTGCGTAAACCATTTCTTTTAATATCCCTAGAGAATTAGTCGATGGATGGTTTAGACCTGGTGAATAAACGTGCAGACCAAAGAATCGGACGTCATCTTTTGCCACCCTATATAAAATAATTATTGATTTACTAATAAGTGTGTTTTTGTTTTTTTTATTAACACTTAATTACAAATCAATACATAACTATTAACAGTTTATTCAAAGGCTTGTTACTTGCTAACGAGACTGAACCATCTGATTATCAAAATTCAAAGGGTACATAATATCTCAGCATTTTAAATTATATTATTCATATTTCCATACAATTCAATTTACATTATCTTAGTGTATAACACTGAAAAAAGTTTTGAGTTGCTTATAACAACATTTTTTGTTACCTATTAAATAAAAATAGTCGCTAAATTATTAACATTATAAA